GAGTCGGTATACAGCCATCCAAGTGTCCTTACTACCATGTGTCCAAGTACTCAGCTACCTATAAAGTAATCACTCAGCCGCAGACTTTCCGAGAATCTAGCCTGCAGCCTAGCCACAGGCACTGTCACTTTCACAGTCACGCTCCCCCGCGCCCTCTCGTATACAGACAGTAGTCAATGCAGTGGCAGGCCTGCTGCTGCTACCAAGCCTAATACCCCATGGTCCACGGCCGCTCGCTCTTGAGCAGTGTCTGGGGCACATGGTGTCGCCTGCTTACGTGCAGCTGCTGAGGAGATCGGCAACAGCCTGAGCCTACGACCCGCAATGTCGTGCTCCTTCTCCAGCGCCCGCCCCATTTCTCATCCATTGCCTTAAAGCATGCCCCCCACGCCCACAGCTGGCCAAATTACCATTGCCTTGCCTCGACTCCTAGTCCGAAACATGGCCTCCCGGCCAGCTGACTGCGAATCTCTGCTGCTACTGTCGACTTGCTCCCTCGACCATCACCGGAGCCCGACCACCCGAGCGCCTGCCTCGCGCCTTCCTTGACCACAGCAAGCCCATCCCTGTCCGCCTGCCTTGATTGGACCCTGCAGCTGCTCCCACGCCCGGCCTCTGCATACACCTAGTAGAGTACACACACTCTCTCTCTCTCACGCACACGCACGCACTCGTTGCACTCTGCCAACAGACGTGTACTCTCCCATTCACCCTCCCTCCCTCTCTCTCTCACACACACACCTTACTACATTCACCCTTCCACCCTTCCCTCCATCCCTCCGCCTATCCATCCATCCATTCACACGCCCTATGCCCCTGTCCCCCAAGCCGGACGACACGTATCTCTCCGTCTCTCATATATGCTCCTTACACATGTACATGTCATCTACATGACCACATACCACGCACATATATACGTACATACTACTACATACATACTACATTCATTCACTCGAGCAATAGCATGCATCCCGTTCCGTCCCCCATTCACACACACTCTCCCTCCCTCTCTTACCCCCCCTCTCCCCTCAATCGCCGCTCTCGGTCGGGGCGCATTTCGTTGGGGCGCGGGCCTCCCGCAGTCGCCTATCACCACCTCCGCCAAGTGGCTGCTGCTCACCCAAAGGCCGACCGGCGCTTTTTCCGTCCAGACTGACTGGCCGACGTCACTCTCGACTTCCCAGTCACAGTCGCCGCCCATCTGTCGTTCATGCAGCCTGCATCGTAAACGGCATTTGGCAAAGTTTAGCCTTACGGCCAGTAGCTGCCGCTGTGCCGTCCATTTCAATCTCACCTGAATCGTCCTCCACTCTGCAACGTCAACACCTCTCTTGCAGCAGGTCTGGCGAGCCGCCCCTCCCTCCCTCCCTCCTTCCTTCGTTTGCAACAGGACCCCAAATCCCTTTGGGAATCCATTGCCAGTCGCGGCTAGCCCTATTCACCGCTAACCGTATAACCGGATGGATGCATCATGCACTGTACATCGACATCTACCATGTACACACCATGTCCCCATCCAATACTAGTGTACCGCCAAGGCTGTCTCCGCTAGACTGTTTCAACCTTAGCCATTGCGCGCTGTGCATCAGCCCTGTTGACGTACTGTGCTTTGCACGCTTTATTCTACTCGTATCTCCCTTGTCGCCCACGCCGTTTCGCTGTCCCATGGAAATGGTAGTCTGGGGTTCCTAAGCACTGCTGCTCCTCGACATCTTGTCAACAAACTCAAACCGCGCGGGGTATACAGGTAAGCATACCTACGATACACACTACCCAGCAACGACAGCTCACCGTCACAACAAGCGTTGACGACGCTTGCATGCGCCCCTCCCCTTCCCACGTGCTTTGAATAGGTAGCCCCATTTCATGTGATATTCAATAAGCTAAACACTTACTTCATCACCTCACCACCGGCTCTTCCCACCAGCACCCCGACCCCTTCCTTCCCTTTACCCTCACCCTCACCCTCACCCTCAACGTCATCTCGCATCGATGCGAGTACGGCTACAGCCACGCGAAAATCACCATTCAAGGTACCCCATTACCACGACCGTCTAGAGCCAATGCATGGCCTCATCACCCGCATCTGATGCTTCACTCTGCTCTGTGCTCTGCCCCACCAGTGTACATGGACATTTGCCTTGTTCACGTTGAATCCCGAGTCCCACTACCTCGAGACGGGTTCACACAAAGTCACCTGGCGCCGCGCCTTGCCCACCCGATACACGCTGTACACGAATCCCCACTCTTGGGCACTATACAGTATGCACTAAGCATTTCATGCTTCTGCACTAAACCGCGTTGTCTGGTCGGTCCGATCACCTATCCACAGTCACGTGTCAATGGCGCTAGCATTGCACCCGATATGGGGAAACTCCAAAGGCCAGGCGTGTACCCGTTGATGCGCAGCCGGGGTCGCCAGCGGTACAACCAAAGACGGCTTCCCGATTCCGTCTTCAAGGATTTGTACCTTGATAGCTGAAGCAGCATGATGTAAACCCCGGTCCGTTACACGACGTCTTCGGCCCTTCATCCATGGACTGCACAAACACCCCATCGGGCCCTCTGACGTCACTTCCGATGTTGCGGCTCGCTTTCCTATACCACGACTCGGAAGATAAGACCAGACAAGAGGTTGAAAACGGGGGCAACAATCATCGTCAACCAGGTTCCCCTTCCTGATCGACAATCTGCTATACGTCAAATCACTACCAAAGCGTCCCGGAAGTGATAGGCATCACGACGATGCAAATCCACGCGTCCCTCCTATCACGATAGCTCGCCGTATTACTTCACGCGCGCCGTTGGCATTACGACATGTCCTCGCCGCAAACGGCGCGGGTGCGGTACTCCTTACCCGTCGCTGTCGCGGAGCCGCAACATATGACGACAAATACCGAACCAAATTGCTCAAACAGGCAACATGACGAATTCTAGGCGCGGCGATCGCTGCAGTCCATCAATGGAACGTGTCAGCCCCCCAAGACTATCCAGTGGATTGGTCTGCATACCTGACTTGGTATGTATCGTCGATTTGCTCAACCACGACACTGTTTTTAATCTACCACTCCACCCTCATCATCAAAACATCGCATCCACCCACCCCGTGTCAAGATTTGTCTTGTTTCATGACTCTCCTCAAAACACGTCATTTGACTGCGCTATTATTGCTCCAAATAGGCCACATCCCGATGACGTTTAACCAGTAAAAACAACCACCCGCAGTCGTGCGCTGGTTTAGTTGACACAAGATATCGAACGTTATCGCCCGGGAAGGAGTATCTATCAAAGCGCGGAGTATCTATCTCTGTAGGTATCGTGGGACCCTCAGCACATGTGGACTTATAACCTTAGCTTATAGTCTTCCGCAATCGTGGAAAACGCACAACCATCACAAACGACCGTATTGTTCAGCCAACTTTTCACGACTCGTCGCTCCGCATCACTAGCCATGGAAACCGTTTTGCAGCGGCATCCGGGTGCAGTAACCGATGTGACTGTCACCTCACCACGCTCCGGTTGCCAACATGCAAGCGTAACGTAACATTAATGTGTCAGAGAATGGAATCGACAATACTTTGTGCCCGGCCCAGTCCGAGCGCAACACCACGTCGGTTTCACATGATTACCCCCATGTGCCATGGATATACGCATTGAACAAGTGGAATGGAAAAAAACGGAGAAATCCGATATAGATGTCGGAAAAGGGGCATTTAGGATATGCCGGGTTTGTATCCCATTTGCTAGCCACCTCTCATTGTCACGACGGAACAAATTACTTTTCATGTTCCTAGAGAGATACACAGATTCTCTTGACCACCACTACCGATCTCTCGTTCCTATCATCTCACCGGATGCGATGAAAAATAATGATCGATATCTAGCATACTGCCAAACGCATCATCCCACTGCCTCTTCCATCTGTCTCATCTCGCGCCTGCCCATTTCATCTTGATCAATAGTCCCATGTTACTCACCGTCGCATCTGCACACCTTTATCTCCATACCTCTCCAACCACTGCTCTCGTGATCTTTTGCTGTAAACCACTTCAACACTCCCAACTCTCACCATATACTTTCACCTATCGTGGGCACGTGACAGTGCATAATGCTTCTTCACCAGCGGATGAGTATCCACACAACTATCACCTGGGAGGTACTACATCATAGGCACCCAGAAGCCCTAGGCTTCGCCCATCTGCACACCCTATGATAGGTTTATATCGCCATTAAATGCCTAAGTCAATCACCATCTACTTCACTTCGCTTCGCACTGGCGTTGCGCTTCTTCCGACGACAACGGCAAAAGAAAAAAGTCCTCAGCGCGCACTTAGCTGTGTGGGGGCCTACTTGGACGAAATATAGTGGGCACTAGACTCTCAACACCCATACCCTTGTGTAGATGACTATCCATTTACTTTCGTTTCCATATTAGACGGAATCAATGTGCATCTAAGATACCCCCCACCCCCCTAAAGGTCCTACACACATTCCAAACCTCAACACCAACACACGCATCTCTTCAAACTCTCCTCTCTTCTCTCCTCTCCTCCATCACCCATTCACATTCACGTACACAAAACCCACCAAATCATTAGAATGGAAAAGAAATGTTCACATTTCTAACTATATAACGACTTCGTAAACTCAATCTATGCTCTCTCTCTCTCTCTCTCTCTCTTTCTCTCTGTTTCTTGTTTGCTTTGTGGGGAATAATACTTTGCATCAAAGCCAAAGCCAAAAAAAAAAACATCGCTACGCTGGAAACGCAGTCAGGAATGTCAAAAAAAAACAAAACAAAAACGCTGTTGACGCAACGTAATGCAACGCTTTTGAAAACAACAACATTAAACAGGGCAGAAACGTTCAGATGATAACACTAAAAATCTTTATCCGTTGGATACAACCTCTGGTGTTTCGAGGGCCATCAGTGTAAAAAAAAAAAGAAAAAAAAAGAGAAAACAAAAAGGGCGAAAACGAACTACTATGTCGTCAACGCTCTAGGCAAGTTCCATCTCATTCAAATGACTCCTTCTCAAACTACTGCGTCCACTATTCGGCGCCCAGCTCGTTCTGGCCAGGACATCTCGCCTAGGATCAAGCATGCCGTTGCCAGTCTCCGGGCTTGCCATTTGGCCCGCGTACTGGAATTGCATGGGGCGTTTGCCCTTGCCGCCACCAGGCAGCACGACCGACGACGACGGCGACCGCATGGGCGCAATGTGCGTGCCGGAATACGTTCGCGTGGGGCGCGGGATGACGGGGAGAGCCCACTCGTCGCTTTCGGAGGTTGCGTATTTAGTAGATGCGCCTGCGGAGCCCGGTTGTGTGTCCCAGGGTTCTGATTCCCAGGGGAGGTCGGGGGAGTAGGCGGAGGAAGGGCCAGAGGGGTCTTCGTCGTCGATGTAGACGGACGAGAAGGATGTAGCGGCTGATGCGCGATGGGCAAAGGGACGACGTGGGTGCATCATCTTTTCCATTTGAGGGTCGAAGATGCTGCTGCTGGCCGTTGTGTCGATGGTGTCGCGCTGCGGCACGGTGCGTGTGCGGCGGAGCGACAACATGCGCGCTGGGTTTCTGGGTGGCGGGGTCTGCTTTTCAAAGTCGAGCATTTCGTAGAAGGACTTGCCGATCCAGAGCATTTGCTCGTGTTCGCGGAGGTAGCGCTCGCCGCCAAAGGATTTTTGCACAATGTTGCGGGCCATCATGCCGAGTTTGCGGCGGTGGTCGGATTTCTCGTACATCCGACGGGTGATGATTTCGACGTCCTTGGGCGTGGGCTTGTGGGGGAGGACTGGGGCTGCGACACCAGGGCCGTCTTCGGCGTACTGGGCCCATTCGTCTAACATGGCGAGGAGGTTGATCTGAGCGCGAGCCAGGCCGTATGCATCGTTGGGGGCAACGACTTCGCTGTACCGTTTGCCATCATCGGGATCAGTGAGCACGCGTAGAGATGCACCCACGTCAGTACAGACAACAGGGGCTCCAGTCAACGCAGCTTCTCCGAGTGCGAGAGGTAGACCTTCGGAAACCGATGAGTTGAGGAACAGCCAGGTGTTTGCAAGAACCATTGCCGGATCCGCTGTACCGCGCATAGTGACGTTCTGACCCAGACCCTTACAGGCGAGAATCTCTTGACATTCGGAAGAATAGACGGGAGATTTGTTGAGAGCACCGTAAATGTCGAGCTTGTAGTCTTTGAAACCCCATTCGTTTGTGATAATGTCGGCGGCCAGCAGAGCAGTCTTGATGTCCTTGGCAAACCAGACATGGGACAACATGGTCACTGTTGGTGTCTTTGCTTTGATTTCCGTGACTGGAGCAAACTTGGTCATATCAGTGATGCCGTTGACAATAGGATCAACCTTGCGCTTGAAGACGTTGCGGTGGGTGAGCTGTCCTTTTGCGCTTCCAATTTCAATTTCCCATCCTGGGTTGAAGAAGTCTGAGGGCAAAAGAATTAGTTGAGACTGACAGACTTGAAGGGTGTATACATACCTGCACATGGAAGGATCTGATCGGCGTGATGAAGAATGAGACACGAGGTCAGCTTCATCAGGCCCAGCAGCGAATTTCGGATAAACGGTGGTAGAGTACACATGGCCGATGACAGGTAGAGGTTAGTCTCACGCCAGGAGATGGCGTGATCCCAGATCTGAAGGGTACAGTTGCGCTTGAGCTTGCAAACGATACCATAAGACGCGGAGACACTGTGGTGAGAGGCCTGGAAAACATGGGGAATCTTGTCGGGGATTGGAATGGAGAAGATGAAGAGATCTATAAAAGTTAGTTTCGCTCAATATATACTGGCAAGTTTACTTACACCTATACCACAGTTCCAACGCAGTGTCAAAGTGACCAAGTGTTGGCAACTCGGTACGGAACCACTCGTTTGCTGGTTGGGCATTGGGCATGTCGTCTGTCAGCCACAGCTTCCTCCACGAGTCTTTGACGATGTCGCTAGTCCAGACCTCTTTCCAGTGGCGTGAATCTTGGAAGTACGTGTTGAGGTTAACCAAAGCACGAGTTGCCTGCTTGACATCTGCCGAAGTCATGGTAGTGGCTCGCGCTCCGCGAACAAGAGCGGTCAGTGTGGGAATGAAGTTTGTCTCAATGTCAGTCAAAGTCGCTGCCTTGACGAGATGGTCAACCTCGCTGTCTAGCTTGTTGGTGAACATGCCATGGTTGGGATGCATAAAGTCCAGACCCCATAGAGGAATGATTTTCAGGGACTCGACGTTCTCTTCAGTCTGGTGCTTTGGCAGTCCAAAATCATTAGCTGATTCGACGACCATGTGCCATTTGATAGTGCGAAGGTTGTTGATGAGATCTCGGCGACATGCTGAGACACCACCACCTTCGTTTGGCCAGGTTCCAGTATCGACAGCAATGACGTGGAGCGAGTTATCGGTATCGCGTTGCAGCGCCTTTGTCCTGGTGAAAACGACAGCATCTCCACCCTGACCGAAACTGAATAGATCGCTCATTCGAATAGCTAGAGGGGTCCATGCGCTGATATCGCTAGTGAGATCTGAGCTGGCCATGATGGCATCGGCGTGTAGTGCAAGGTAGTCTTCAGCTTTGACGAGACTTCCACGATCACGGCGTCTCCAGTAAGGTCTTAGCAGAGCCTCCTTTCGGATCAGTTCCTCATCAACCCAGCGAATGACGACTCCGTCAAGGTCATTACGTTTCTTCCAAGCCTTCCAGAGATGCGAACGGGCTCGGGAGGTAGAGATCTCTTGCTGCTTGATGTTCCTTCGGAAAAGACGGCCCAAGAAGTTCGAAGTCGGAGTTTTGAATGCCAGCAGAGGGTTTTCATCAGCGAACGTGCAGCGAGTGGGCTTCTTGAGCACGCCGAGCCAATCGTGACGGATCATGTCTGGTGTATCGACCATGATACCGTTGAGCTTAGTTGTGATCGTTGGATGGAACTTGTGATCATAAAACCATGTGCATTCGTAAACGTCGGCACCTTGGACGAAGGTCGCTTCGTGGACACGTGGAGTAGGGATCCAACGCTCTGTCTTCTCGGCATGGCGAACAGGAGGCGCGCACCAGCTGACATTGGCAGACATATGTGGAAGCACGAACTCAGCGCGAAGAAGTTCATCGTCGTACTTGGCGTTCTTTCGGTAATGGTATTTGAAGCGCACCAAGTTGTTGTGGCTGATGTAACTTCCAGATTCAATGTGACCCTTGTGGTTGTACAAGACCTTTGATCCGTCGTTTTCGCCCTTGCCGCAAATACGGCTGAGGGGGATCTTGGTTGACCTTACTTTGGAGATTCTGACCTTGTTTTGCGCTGGATTCGTTTCGTATTCGTAGGTAAACTCATTGGTGACGGAGCCATTCTTCCATTCTTGTCGTAGCTTGATGCGCATTTCTTTATCGTAGTGAGAAACACGAACCTGACCCCAAGTCGGCTCGGTCTTCAGGGCGCCTGGATAGAAGATCAATTTGAAGCCGCCGTCTTTGTCAGGGTGAACGAAAGCTGTCTCGGTCTCGCCGGCACTTTGGATGACCAGGCGGTTCTTTCTCTGGATGATCAAACTTCCCTTGACGGTTCCTGCCAGGCCTGCAATATCTTTGCGACGGTGGTAGAGGAAGAACGGTAGAGCTATGGACATTGCACGTCGGCTGTATATCCACAGTCCTGTAAGGAGAAACGTAGTCGGCTTGGCAACAATCCATGGTTTGTGCAGCAGTGCCCCGTTCAGCTCACGCTGATACTCGGGATCGGCCATGCACGCCAGAACAAAGAACTTTACCCATGTTCCGGCAGAGTGATAGACATAGGCAACCGGAAGGCGAATGTATTCAGTAAACAAGCTAAACATCGAAACAGCGGAACGATTGAGGACCGGGTGGTACGCCGTTTGGATATCCGCAGTGACTTGGCGATATTCTTTGTTGGAGATTGATTGATCGCCTCGATTCCTGAAGTAGCTATACTTGACAACCGACAAGAATGCTCCTAGATCATAGCGTGCGATGACTGAGAGAATTGTACAGGACTCTTCGGCGCGGATGTTTTCATGGATCCAGGATAGTTCCTTGTTCGTGTAAGGTGCTCGGATACCGAGACAACGTCGGAAAAACAGTCGTCGTATATCCAATGGCAAGTCATCCCACTGCGTTTCACAGTCGAATCCAAGGCACAAATTTCGCAGAAGCTCTTTGCGACAGGCTTTTCCATACACCAAAGCGTCTTGCCCTGCGACCAATGCCGGCATCGAGCGTCTGTTGCACTCTGAGATAGCATATTGCTCGCCGTCGTTCTCCCTGCATGCAAGGATAGATTCCGCAATCTCAGCTTGTGAGTGCGGGGTCTCGAGGAACGTTTCCATGCACGCGTGAAGTAAAGTTTCGGCAATAGCAGTGCAGTTGCTGCTCACATTCGTTTGGCCAAAGCCTGGGCCCTTCGCATCCGATGTCATATATAACGTCAAATGACCATCGGCAAAGTGCGAAATGGCACGAAGATCGTTATTGAAGTTGACGACCGTCTGGAGAGGGACAATGAAGACATCGATTTGCCCATTTCTCCAAGCTGACACGATTCGCTGAATTGTTGACGGCATGGCCGGGAACGCTTGTAGAGCAAGCCTTGAAAGACTATCGTGATTGCATGATAGCAGCAATGCAATGATTTGATCACCGGGTTGACCAGCTGGATTGACACGGTATCTGTTCTCTTTTGGAGCAGCTCGAATCATGTTGCAGTATGCGCGGAGCTCACTTTGACTGTATTCGGAATCGCTGTTGCCGCTATTGTAGGCGTGGAACTTGTCATTCATCAACGACTCTGTTCCTTCATCAGGTTGCCCATTCACGGCATTTGCTGCCTTCTTGGAACGCTTGGCTGTTGGAAATGATTCCGAGACCCATTTGCTGAAGTCTAGAACTTCTGGCATGCCTAGTTTGGCAGTTCGGAATGAGAGAAGGGCTGCTGTCCAAGTTGACGCGCCAAGAGCGATAATCCTGTCGTAAAGGAAACCAGGGAAGACTGCCAAGAGTACGTTGCCTACTATCAAACCAACCACGACAGCTGCTAGCAGTGGCATGAGCGCATGCGGACCAGAGAAGATCTTGTTGTACTGATACAGCAATAGTCCAGTGTAAGCACCAACGTAGGACAAGAACAGGGTCAGTCCAATGGACGAGCTGTTGAAGATCCAGATGAGAGCAGTGCAGAAAGCAAGTGCCCATACATGGACGCCGATGAAGCGACACAAGGTATTGAAGTAGAGATGACGCCTGAACTTCAGATCGTTGGCCTTGGCTTGTTTGATCTGTTGCGTGTTTTCAATTGAGATGGGTGCCATCTGCTCCGACAAGGTGTGCAGGTGCTGAGCCTTGTAGTCGAGTAGGACAGCTCCAATCAGGTAGTACGCGAGTCCGAAACCGACTGATAGGCGGAATGCCGTGTCCATCTCACCTGCAAAATCGTATGCAAGTCCAAGGCCGGCTGATAATTGGATAGGTGTATCTACTCCTGGCATATCCACTGTTTGGCCCCCGTTCAATATGTCCAACCATCGATCCATGAGTGCGACTAGGAAGTAAAGAATGCCGCAGTAGATTTCATCACCTGCTGTTCGCCAGTGAATGAAAGAATTGTGGAGACGAATTCCCTTCTGCGATTGTTGCATACTCTCCAGCGCGACTTGGGTTTCGAGGTTCCAAGTCGAACTGTACGGAATAGGTCGCTTGGTGTCCGTTATGCGAGCGTACCAATCCAACAAGAAGATAGTCGAATCCCAGCAACCAGCTAATTGTTTCACGAAGCTATCTTTTGTAGATTTCTGCCAGAAATGACGTCCATGTTCTTTCAGTACAGCTTCATGAAGAGCGTTGCGGCACAATGCCAGAATGGCTGGTTCACTCATGCCCTGGAAGATGTCCGGCTCGCTGAAAGACCCCTCTGAAGAGGCAACGAGGGATCCGTCCGCGACAGTTGATGTAGCTGCGCCCTTGCTTTGGCTTTTGTTTTTGAGAGCGACTGCTTCCTGCTCCCTTTCAGAGTGCAATTTCATGTACCAGTTCTTGATATCTGAATCGTTGAGTGTCTTGATGTTGTGATACCAGGTCACCCATTGGGTTGCCACGCGTCTGGTGCCAAGAATCAAAAGGGTAACGAAGATGTATAGAACGCCCAGATAGAGGTAAACGTCATTGCCTTTCATCCCAATGAAGATGGTAAGAATAGGGGAGATTACCAAGGTTGGAATGACCATAATGATGATTTTTCGGCCATTGAGGAAACTGGATCCAGGAATCTGATACGTGGAAAGCACAGCCAGGACGGTCAGGTATGTAGTCAGGCCGAAGAGGTAGAAGAAGAAGACGGCGCCGTGACCAGGTCCCGATACAGCTGAGATGACAACGAAGCCAAGAAGACATCCGGCAAGAGTGAAAGCCAGACCGCCAACTAAGCGTGTGAGGACAAACATGTTGGCTGCGGAGAAGGCCATGGAGATGAGGTAGTATGTGCCACCAATAGAGATCCATGTTCCGATGGCGCCAGAGAGTAGCAATGAGCACATAAGTGCCAGCGTAGCATAGTACCTCTCGTCTTCAGTCATTCTCACACTTAGGTAAAGGCCGTGACCAGTAGTTGAGAGAAGCACAATATCGACAAGGGCAGGAATTGCAAAGACACTCAGGAAAGTAAAGCGACGATAGGCAGGCATAACGGAGGCCTTCTGCTCAGGATCGATATCTGTCTGGGCTGCAGCATAGGCGGAAGCAAATGAAGGCGCATTGAAGATCCACATCGGAGGCTGGTGTTCTTCTTGGTTATAGTAGGCCCTGTGCTTCTCCGATAGCAAGATGCCCATGTCGCTAGGCTTGATATCGAAATAAGCTTCACATCGAGATCCCAGCGCAAACAGCTCTGCAAATGCCGCACTCTGATCGGAATACTGGTTGAAGAGTGGGTTCCTGTCTGAGACCTCAATATAGACTTCTTCGAATCCGGCTTTCCTGGCTGCACAAAAGATGCAGAAAAGCACGAAGTCGGCTGCCGAGTCGAGTGTTCCCCGGCTGGTAATGTCTGTGATGGCTGAAGTGATGGTATCAAGCTTCTGGTGATCTCTCCACCATAGTATGTTAAGAAACACCTCGTTGATGTGTCTGAAGAGTTGCAAAGCTTGCGCCTCATCGAGGGTTGGGACGCGCGAGAGTCGATACCATTTGAGTTTCGCGCCCACTAGCTCCTCATCGGTGACTTTCTCACCAATGTAATCTACGTTGCTCAGTTGCTTAAACTGATGATATGTAGGTACATCAATCAGCAACTCTTTGCAGCGTTCGCGAATTGCAGGGAGAAGCGAGCATTCCTCTTCCCATTCTGAGTAGCGGATATGCTGCAAGTAATTTAGAAGCTCTGAGGACGAAAGAAGATCCAGATCTTGAACCAGACGATCCGGTAGTCGTTCTGGTGAAAAGGATCCGTCGGCAAATTCGCTAAGGCCGTATTCTGCAAGGAAACACTGGTACCTCGAAAAGCCCATCATACTTAGATATGTGTGGAGCAGAACTCCTTTGACATCTTGTACGGACTTGGAAACATATATGATGATAGCTTTAGTGCGAGGGTCTAGTTCCCACACTCCCCAGAATGAGGCGCCGTTGGGGGTGTGAAATCCTGAATCAAGTGCAGAATATGCTTGGAAACGGTATGGGTCAGCACCGTCCTCAACAGCATGGTCCAATGCTTCTACGAGAGCTAGGATAGCCTCTCTCATAGTAGGCACGAGATTCAGAAAGTGGCTGCTGCTAGAAGCGAAGCGGCTGAGGGTTGCAGAAGTTGCACTGAACTGTTCTACGGGGAGACGGGTAAGCAACTTGAGATCTCGCAGATGCCGTTGTGACTTGAGGACACGATCGAAATCTGCTTTGGAGGCATCGATACCGATTGGGAAGCATCCCAAAGATGAATATGGTGATCCGTCGAAAGAACATGAAAGTGGGTTGTCGGTGTGCTTTTCTACTGCCATGGTCCAGTCGAGCCCCAAACTCGTGGGTGATGAGGGTTCGTGGGGGACCAACACTCCATTCTCATCAACCTCGGGATATTCAACAGTAAGTGTAAGTGTACTGGATGAGTCGTCGTCAGGCATGCCTCCATCAAGGCCGGCGAGCGTGTCAGCCAAGAGAGGGAAAATCTCTTGTAGCGGCACGTAGTCATCAAAAAGGCTGGAAAATCCAGGCGAAATCGTACGAGCAGTTCGGTACTTGTCATGGACATCCATAACCTTTCGAGTCTTCAGCCACTGGAAAGCGGCCAAGGGTTCCTCGCAGGGGCTGACATCGTAGATGTTTGTGAGAGCGCACTGCCGTGGGAAGTAGGGCACTGCGCCGTGATAACTGCACCACATGTGCGCTCTTCTGAGAACAGCATGCGAAAGCTCGGCATTATCATCCACTGTATCCCACATCATTGTGACAAACGAACGTTGGCAAGCTTGGGAAACAAAGGACCGAGTTGTCGTCTTCATCTTGTCCATGTCGAAGAAATCGCGGCGCTCTCCATTCGACTTGATTGTACCGTTGCGAACTACTACGCCGGCAAAGAGTGAGAGATCGAGCTTCTTCACACCGTCCAAGAAGTCGGGAGCGCCGATCTCCAGATAGCTATCCAAGCCATGGGCTGAAAGAAGTTTTGTGAGGCCATGGAGCAAAGCGATGGGAACGCGGTCGCGCCATTCGGAGATGAGAACACCAGTGAAGTATCGCTTCTGGTCGGGTCGTCGCAAGTTCTGTTCAATTGTGCACGACAAGAGATATATCGCTTGTGACAGGTCCAACTCGGTGCCCTTTGTGGCCGAAGTGATAACATGGGATAGATCGAGTCGCGCGATGATGTAAGGTCCCATGGGAACATCATCATTACTGACGGCATCTAGGACACCAGTCTGTCGGTAATCCAATACGAGGGCCTCCCATTGCGACAGGACCTGTGCCTCCTCTGGAGTGACTGGGGTTTTCAATGCGCCAAGGTAGACGCCAAAAGATGAAGGTTTCGCGGGGAGCGCGTGCGTAACGCGAATGACGCTTGAGCTGTTTGACAAGAGATGAATGCGCTCTTGTACGGAGCGTGGCAAGGCAGTTTCATCTTCATCTTCCTGCAGGATCTGTCAGTGTGGGCGCGCATGTCGGTGCAGCGACTTTTCTTACCTTGAATACTTTTCGAAGTGAACGATAAGTAGACCATACGAGAGCGACAAGGCCGACAAATCCGCTAGCAGCAATGATGGCAATGAGAGTCCAATCCCACCAGTCGCGGATTCGCGTGCCATCCTTGAAGGCTTCGATACCTAGAACGTCGGGCTTTGCCATGGTTGCGACGGCGTGGACCTGGTCCGACTACAAGGCATACGCCTATGCTGACAGTTGTGATCTGAACAGACTTTACAGTTTCTCTATGCTGGGCAGGTGACCATAGGCATTGGGCATAGGGTGGGTTATCAAGTAAAAAACAAGAGGGCGACAGCCCGCTGCATGGAGAAGTGGTGTCACAACGAGGGCGAGTCGACGGCGACGACACAACAAGAACGGCAGGCAAATGCAGGCAGTCGACTGGTGAAGGCCAGCTGAGAGCTGATCAAGAGGTGCATAGTGTGCTTCGTATGCCAGAGTACAGTCAGGTGTTAGTTAGGCGTCGATCTGGCAGTGCATTAGCAACCATGACCAGTGGCTAGCCGAAGCAATGTCCACTGCAGGATCGGCAGCAGTCAGAGAAGACGCCTTCATCCTTCGAGAATATGGCAATACGGCGCTTGGCGGGTGCTACAGACGACAGTGAGCCGGCGTGATGAGCACGAAGCCTTTAGGCCGGGCATAGGCAAAAGCATGGACATAGTGCACTAGCGGGATTATAGTGGCCAGATTCATCTATCCCGGACACGAAGGGGGACTGCAAGCCGACCAAAGCGGGATCCTAGGTTCGGCGGACGGTGGATCTTGGTGGCGACGTGGTAAGAGTGGTGGACAGGAGGAACCGTGGCGAGCGAGGCTGACATGCCCAGGGTTTCCCTCACCCTGGCCTGTGCGCGCTAAATTTGGCCCTCCACTTGTAGCGTCCCGCTCGGCACGCATTTTAGCCTAACCTCCTCCACACTACGACGTTAATATCAGACTTCATCTAATGTGGCATTCGCTCCGGCCTTGTCTCCGGCGCTCATGCAAGGCAAATGCAACAGGCTTCTTGCCCTGGCCCTGACCCTGGCCCGATCCACCACAGGCTGACTGCAGCCAGGCGCCTGCTGGGACAACAGGCACACCACTAACGTAGACAGTGGCCAGGGATCTTCTCAACATACGACTCCCTCCACCCACTTACGTACAGCATGGGCCTGCACCCCGGTCCTCTACTCTAACTACAGCCTGAGCATCATAGTAGCAATCTCTTCAATCTCGCTCTGCTAAACTGCCCCGGTACGTACCCAGCGACCTGGTTGAATCCAAGCCGAGAGTTAAAGTGTGATCCTACTATGTGCTTGTTCTTCACGATCCACAGCGGCGGCACGGTATTTTTCACGTGGCATACGCCTCTTCTCCTCGAGCGGCATCACCTGAGGATTTGGCAATAGTGTGCTGGCCAAGGTTAATAGTACGCCCCATTCCATGTCAGCAAGCTCCTCCCCGGTTTTACGACCTCCACGATTTTGAGAGGCGTCAAGCTGAACTCAATGCCGTGGTACGCCTGAGACTAGATCCGACTACAAGTCGTAACTCTCAATGTGGTGGAAACAAAAATGGAAAATCAATAGTCCCTTGATCATTTACCGCATCTGGACCGTTATACTCGAGGTGACCTATGGGACAAATTTTGCCGAGACTTCTTTATTAATATGCCTAGATTCCTCAGAGACAGCCACTTCAAGCATCCATTGTTTCACTTCTTTTTTAATCATGTCGTCCTATTCTCGCTCGTTATTGCGAGCATGCTTAGTCTCCTCGCTTTCTCTGCTGCAACCAGTGTCGGCGTTTGTGGGAAGCGCAACTGTCTCAAGCACTGTTTTGGTCATCGCTCGCGATGCTACTTCCGCGCTTAACAGCGCCTCACTTGGTCTTCAGGGCTATGGCATACCCTATGAGACCCTAGTTGTCCCTCAGGCTGGTATTGCCAATCTTCCCCTTCTCAATGCCTCTGCAACAAATGGCAACTACGGTGGTATCGTTGTTGTTGGCGAAGTTAGCTACAACTACGACAACTCGTACCGAAGCGCCCTTACAACCGATCAATGGAATCAGTTGTACGCTTACCAGACCAACTTTGGTGTGAGGATGGTCCGCTTGGATGTCTTTCCTACCACTGAATTTGGTGTGGTTAGCACTGGTGGCAGCTTGGACGATCAACCAGTCACCTTTACCAATACAAGTGGCTTCCCTTCGGCCAATCTCAAGACGTAAGTGCAAACAACTCCTTGGCTCTAATTGCCACAATGGGCAGTGATCTCTGCTCGACTTCCACAAGCGGTGCGGGTGGCAAACATTGACAGGCAAAAACATAAGATGCAAGCAGGACTAACCATGATGACAGGGGTGTGCCGATAAGCATTGCTAGCATCTACCATACTCCGGCCACAATCACAAACTCTTCGATTGCGTGGGAGTTTGCTAGCTTTTCCAATGCTGGAACTGCTGCAGTCATCAACCAGATTGGTGCACGCCAGCAGATGGCATGGTTTCTTCCGTTTGCGCTAGACTGGGCGCCATCCAGCAACATTCTGCAGCACGCGTGGATCACTTGGATGACCAGAGGCCTCTTCCTTGGTTTCAGGCGAATCTATCTCAGTACGCAAGTTGACGACATGTTCCTGGAGACGGGCTTGTACCGTCCAGCAGGCCAAAACTACCGCTGCACGCCACAGGATCTTACGACCCACGTGACATGGCAGGCTGCTCTTAACGCAAGGCTGCCGGCGGGATCTGAGTTCTTCATTGAGATCGGCCACAACGGCAACGGTGACATTGAAGCATCTGCATACACGGATCTAGGCCAGACACGCTGCAACCCTCCCCAGGCTATTGAATATTCTGATCAGCCTGACGGCAGCCCAGAATACTCCAAACCCCCTGGCACCGGTGTAAACATCTGGCCTACGACACCCACTTCATACACCTGGAGTCTTCAATGTGCCCAGATTGATCCGCTTGAGAACTGGTTTGCAGTGACATCAAACCGCGACGCTTTTGCCCATATCTCTCACACATTGTACGTATACAATTGCTACTAAGACGCTGATCGCTGCTGACAAGACACTAGCTCACACATGGACTTGACCAATGCCACCTATGCGGACACATCAAAGGAAATTTCCTTCAACAGGGCCTGGCTGAAGCAAGTCGGACTCGACGCTGCTAAGCGATGGAGCACCAAGGGTCTCATTCCACCAGCCATCACTGGTCTGTTCAATGCAGACGCCATCAAGGCATGGATGGACAACGGTATCACCAATGTGGTTGGAGACAATACCCGACCACGTCTCCGCAACACGCAGAGCTCGTTCTGGCCATTGGCCACAACGACGTCGTTCAATGGGTATGCTGGTCTGAACATTATGCCACGTTGGGCCACTCTGATCTACTACAACTGCGATCTCCCAGCCTGCACTACCCAGGAATGGATTGATACATCAGCTGGCGCCGGCACCTTTGACGATCTATTGGCCAACGCCCGGGATACGGCGATACGCAATCTTTTCGGGCTTCACTGGGATCCGTAAGTCGTCCGCCCGTATCCGCTTGAAGAAAGTTTACTGAGACATCACGCAGGTACATGTTCCACCAGGCTAACATGCGGGTTGCGGACGTGCCAGCGACTACTATTAATGGCAAGTCTGGCCAATACTCGCTACTCATGTCGTGGCTCGAGGTTGTGACCACTGAGATGACGCGCCTGTACGTAAACCATGGTCGTATTCGATTAAGCAATGCTGACACACCCGCTCTAGGACGACCTGGCCCATGAAGACGCTTAAGCATGACGATATTGCGCAGCAATTCCTCAACCGACAGACGCGCGATCTCTGCAGGCCTAGCATGACCTGGAAGACGTCGACCAATGGTGCCAGCATCGAGTCTGTGAGCGTGTTCACGGCAGGCGGAAACAGCTGCGGTGCAACTATTCCAGTGACGGTGCCAGGGTCAGTAGCAGACTCGACTGGCGCGACCAGGGAGCAGCTAGGCAGCGATCCCTTGACGCTGTGGGTGTCTATGAGTGGTGCGAGCAGGACATACAGGCTCTCGTCGGCATTGCCTCTCTAGGAGGGCGTGGCGGACTTTCAATATTTGTTTGCATTGTTAGTGATTACATTATGGCTACAAATGTCTAATAGGAATGCTTGAACACGATATTCACGAGAGCTATGAGTGGGTCCGTTAAGAGAAAAACCAAAACTTATATGCCGCCTGACGATGCGATGCTACATGTTTACTTTTTACTGGAGTGGTGTTGGCGCAGCCTTGCAAGGGTTGGACCGGAGTTTAAGCGGTCAGCATTTCAGGCTGGCTGCCAAGTCGCTTCGCTGTTCCAGCCACCACACACGCACACACACAGACTGGGGGCGAGTATCGAAAACGCCATATCCTCGGGACGTTTTTGTATAGCGCCCCCGGTCCGTTTGAACGACAGGCGCCACTTTGAAACTGCTAATGCATGCTTGGACACGGTTCACCGAGCTGGCTGTCAGCTCCGTTGACCGCATCTCCTGACGGCATGCCTTACTATGCCCAAGATCCGCATGTGGCAATGTATCCTCCACCACCACGATGGCGTGCTCCTCTCCCCCGCTCCACCAACCGGAACCGCTTCCCCGACTCTACACCAGCCACACGCGCTACCACTGCCGCAGACGAGGCGTTATGCCGTCTCCAGCTAGGACCGTGTTTTATTTAACATCCTTTATATTAACCTACATGCACCTTGCATCCCTCAGCCGCAAGTGCCGAACAAGAAAAAGGTCTCATGTCGCGACTGCGCCGCTAACGCCGCGTCTCCCTTGTTTTCTCTTCCTCTGCAAACCATGTAGAATACTGGCCTGGGTTTGCATCTAGAGTGTAGAGCTGAAGGGAGGCAGTTTCGTATAGCGGGTTGGTACTATTGGGGCTTATGCTAGCAACTTCAATAAAAACAAAGCTGGCTGTGTTCCCCCCCTCCATCGTGACTACACATTCCATTTTCTATACGCGCTGGCCCCCCCTGGCAAACTCTCTTTTTTGCTATACGCTGAGCCTACGGGGCGCCTAAAAGGGTCTCTCGGCTAAAGCCTCACCAACGTAATACTACAACTGCGTAGTCCCCCATCCGAGGAGAAGAGGACAAAGCAAAAACAATCCAGGAACGAAGAAAGGAAAAAGGAAACAGAGAAGAAAATAATCATGGACGTCAAACCCACAGCGACAACGCGGTCGCGCCGCCGCAAGATCCTCTGCATCGTACTCCCCCTCGTCATCGTTATTGTCCTCGCCCTCGCACTCGGTCTGGGATTAGGACTAGGCCTCAACTCTGGCGGCGACGACGACAACGACAACAACAACAACAATCCCGGCGGCACGCCTCTCCCCTCTCCCAACACCACCCTCCCCTGGACCCCCTCGGTAGCCTCAACATGGCAAATCATTCTCTCGCACCCTCCCGACATGTCCTCCAACAGCGCTCTAACCCCCAACGTAAGCGTCTACGACATCGACCTCTTCGACACCCCGAAATCCACAATCGACGCGCTACGCGCCCAGGGCATCCGCGTGCTGTGCTACTTCAGCGCAGGCAGCTACGAGAACTGGCGGACCGACGCCAAGGATTTCAAAGACGCCGACTTGGGTAAGCCGCTGGATGGCTGGCCCGGTGAGAAATGGATTGATCTCAAGAGCGAGAATGTGAGGAATATCATGAAGACGAGGGTGCAGTTGGCAAAGGACAAAGGGTGCGATGGAGTTGATCCGGACAATGTGGATGGATATGTGAGTTTCCATCTCTCTATTACCTTGCGCCACCATTTTTGCCTCCTACGACAAGAAAATGGTGGAAGTGCGGGGGAAATCACGATGTGATGGACGGGAGTACTGACACGATTGCCAAAAAAAGCAAAATGACAACGGCCTCGGACTGACCTCCGCGGACTCGATCGCCTTCATGCAATACCTCTCCAACATCACCGCACCCCTCGGCCTCGCCCTCGGCCTCAAAAACGCCGGCGACATTGTCCCCACCGTCCTCCCCATCGTCCACTTCTCCGTCAACGAAGAATGCGTCAAGTACAGCGAGTGCGCCAAATTCTCCCCCTTCATCGACGCGGGGAAACCCGTGTTCCACATCGAGTATCCGGACGGCGCCGGGGCGCAACAAGGGTTGCGCGAAAACATCCTGACCGACTACTGTGCTAAGAGCGGAAAGGGAGAGGGCAGCCAGCGGTTTAGCACCGTGCTAAAGAAGATGGAGCTCGATGGCTGGGTCGAGTATTGCGATGGCAGTGTTAATGTTACCGATATCAATGAGGCCGTAGGTGGCGGCCGGAACAATAGTTCAAACTAATGGATTCGTAGTAGTGTAGCTGACAAGAACAAAAAAAACGTAATGTATTTCACCTTTAAACTGGGATCATGCCTTCATTCTCCCTCGTGTTTTTTTTTTCTTCAACTTGACTTTCTCACTTGTGGCATTTGCCGGTTTTATCGATCTCGCGATTGCATCTCTGTGTTTTGTATGGTGTTCTTTCCCGTGTTTTTACGTATGCTGCTAGTGTCATTGTCCATGTTTGATGTCCCAACTTACTATTTTTAAACATGTTGCGGTACTACCAAACTTTGAACACTGGAGTAGGGTGGTATACACTAACGAGGAATTCCCATCATCATCTTCGGACTATTTACTCCACCCACGTAGCCTTCTTAGTAATCTTCCCTTGGCAGTGCTAAGGAAAAAAAGTTTGTTCTTCCTTAGTAGCTTTTTTGTTTTTGTTTTTTTCTCTCGGCACACTCCATTCGCTCCTAAGCGCAGTAGCCGTCGCTTGCCTCGGATGTAATTCGCCCGGTGTCGGTCCCCCATAACAAACCTTTTTCTTTGCTTCTTCATACACTTTACATTATCACAAGCTAAACACAGAAAATTGGAGTTGTTTGTTCAATGAGTCGCGTAGTGACAATCCTTCTGCATCATGGGCTTTTTCTCCACATCCCGAGGAAGCACTGTCTGCTGCAACCGACATACACTTATTTTACTTTTTGCTTCTGTGCACACTATCCAGCCGCCTCTACCGACTCCCCCCCTTCACCATATCGTTGCATCATCTCCCGCATGGCGTGCTTTCTCTCGGCGCTTTCAAGGCGGGCCGTATTCTTTTCAGCTCGCTCTCTCTTCTCAACTAGTGTATGTGGCATACGAAGTCTAGTCTCCGAAGTTGCGTGTTTCTTGCATTTTCAAAGTCCCACGGTCTCGATGCTCTGCTGCTTTCTCCCCGAACCGACGAGGGCCCAGCGAGTCTAGCACGGTCTCGATGCCGGACCGCCGCGGTCTTGGGTGTTCGTACGCACGTACAAAGTACAACAGTCCGGAACGCAAGGCCGAGAATCACGCCGCCGCTCTCATCCGGCCGGCGCCTATGTACTGTATGTAGTACGTCGAATACGTGTCGGTGTCTAAGAAGAACCGAGGGAGAAAAAAGATACCTCTGCGATGTTTCACAGCAGCTGTGGATCGATGCGCACTATTCAAACACATTCTCCACTGCGAGACGAGAGGATCGATTCACTCCCCTGACTCTACTCTAGGCTTGCGGCCGCGATCCGGGGAATCCATGCTCATCCGATATTCCTCTACAGATTTGTTATTACACAGTATTACTCAGGCGCAAGCAAGCGCCTGTGACATGGGTGGCATGTGCTGTGTGCCGATCATCCCACTGGTGGAATCAGCCACGGATCATGTATACATGCTATGCTGCAATTCTGAGGCGATGCATGCAAACAACCCGTAGGGAAGGTAAGGGCTCCCACGCGCCAAGGGATATCTGCCGACCGGTTGAATGTGGCTACAATATCCGGTCTAGCAACTTGTCTACACCGGTCAGAAGCCTGGCGGTAGCTGCGGTCGGCACTCAAGACTATATGCGGATATTGGTCTTGACAGGTACATGGGATTTGTATCTGAGACAACGCCACGCGGCCTCATATAGACAGGATCCTCTATATTTAGGGGATTAATGGCAGTGTCCAAACCTTGGTTATAGAGAAGTAGATCCTCGTCCAATCGTTCAGCACATGCCTTACATCCATGCTCGCTTTTTGGGAAACGAGGTGAGGGGGTCATGCCTAGTGAGCAAGGCCTGCAGCACTGGTGGGTATGGAAAGCTTCCATTGTGCAAGGCGCCCAGGGCCGATGCTGGCTGCTGGTAACGAGACGAGGGCGCCATCCCATTCACAAAGCCTCACTCGTATTTTCATGCATGAAGCACGCCTTCCAGACCCGAGCATCCATTCAGGAATCGAAACACCAAGTCTCGTTACCGATTTTTTTGCAGGCCAATGGGTCCAGGCATACGGCGCTCCACTCCAAGCCTGCTTGAACACGACATAGCACAGGGCGGCCGATCCACTATTCCGGATGCCCCATACGAGGAGCTGTGGCTGACAGGGGTTGGTGCGGGGCAAAGATCGGGCCCCTGTTCGTGTTCTTCTCAACGCCTGAACCTGGGAGGCAAAAGCTGCGATTCGCCCTAAGCACATACAAAATTAGCACATATAGATCATGGTGCAATGGTAATGGTGTGAAGGAGAGAAGGATCGGCATGCCCTAGCGAGCGGCTTGCAATGGCTCCCGTCATTCAAGGTGAGTGTTCCCATAGAGGGCGTCATCTAAATGTAACTTCGGCTTCATGTTGCAAAAGAGCTAGCCAATATTGACAAGGGGAGCACTCCCCCGTTGTGCCGAGTTCTTAGCTCGCCCGCTTAGGTGAACGGGCACTACGACTAGTTTTCGGGAAGCTGTCGTTCCCACGCACAACGCATCGCCCAACTGTCTCTACCCAATGGTCTCGTCCAGTGTAGACGTCATACGTAAGCCGGATGCTCGCTTGCGTTGTCAACTGCTTGAGACCAGGACCTAACCAAGACTGGCGCAAGAAGCTATTGAAATCCTTCAGAAACAAAAAAAATTGGTAACCTGGCACTCAGCTCGGCATCAAATCGGTAGTTTGGACACCCATATGCTGCATCAGCCAAGCAAGGCTACGCGGAGCCGCCGGCATTCAAGCTTCCGGGAAAACGCGAGGAAGCCACGGTATTCTGCCGGGGAATGGCATGGGGTGTGAACTGTACTGAACTTCCGGTAGCGAACCCTTGTGGAAAAATTCATAGATGCGAACCGATATAGAACGAGGCTGTAAAATTTCCGCACGGAGATGAGATCAGAGTTGGAATAGAGTGTTGGCGCATGTTTAGCGCGTAGACTAAGGGCTAACAATCTGGCTAAGAACAGCAAGTGGCCTGGGATTAGCTGACTGTCAGATCTGCCGCCTATGGCCACTGAGCACATCCAATGTTAGTGTGACACTGGGGCTGCTTGACCCCCGTGGGTCATAATAGTTAAGAGTATGTTGCGTGAAAATCTTTACTGGTTTAGAGTCATCTTGCCGACTAACTAGTTAAAGTCGTCTTTGGAAGTAATCACCCGACGGCCGAGCGGTCCGTCTGGTGTGCTGCAATACCTGTCTAGATGGCGAACAGATACTCTCGCGACTCCCTGATCTGCATCAGCTCGTTAGTGGGGTACGATGACAAGGTAATCACCATTGGCCAAGGTGTTTCTTATTTCCACCACAGCTCAAAATGCGAAAACCAAGACCTTAGCCGCCGGCCGACGCACCTAAATTGATCCTACGGACCGAGGTTTCACTCACACGTGGTGTGCTCGAGGCGACAAGGAAATGTAGCCTTGCCGCAAAGGCTCTGGCTTCCCATGTGTGTACCTCTTGGCTGCTCCTGCAAGGCTGTCCTGATCCCAATCTACCCTGCTCAGCTCAACCAAGCGTTAAGGCAATCGATAGACATGGGCAAAATGCTGTCAGACTGTATGTAATCGGGGCTAACAGTGAGTCATTTCCTGCGAACAAGACGCAGAACTAGTCCAGCAGAGGATTTCCCTATAATGGCAGCGACGGGGAACTCCGAATGGCATAAATGGGCATCGCTCTGGCTTTGGCAATCGTACTGAACTTTTTTGTCTCCGGTTTTTGTCCTCTGAGAACCGCCGTCAGGAAGCGCCCTCGGACAAAGGCGTGACTCCGGACTGCTTGGAAAGGACCCGTCGAGACGTCTAGACTGTGATGGAATGGCCAGATCATGGACTGAAGTTATATTTTCAGCCTCGCGCTTATGCAACTACTGGGAAGCAGGCGAATTGCAAGCTGCGCTGTGTAACCCGACCTCGATTGATGAACGAAATTGGTTCCTCGACTACGAGGATACTCAAATAAGGCCTAATTCAGCGATGCTCGGTGTGGCAATACGCATGCTGCAAAGCAGGCTTACCAGAACGGCTCTCCTTTAGCCCGGGCGCCGTCTCTCAGGGCCTGAGACATGGTTTCTAAATGCGCTGTGCAATCATATGATTGTTGCGTGGGAGGTCCCATCGTCAGATATTCCGCCCAATACTAGTGACAAGTCACACTCGACCCCGAATTAGAACCAAGTGATGTCATCCTATAGCGGGCTCAACAATCTGGTGCGTCACTTTGTTGCGGCGTAAGCGATGGTGCACATGTTTTTTTGAGCAGAGTGCGCGCTTTCAGGGCTGCAAAATACTCTGCATTCTGTGATGCAACTTCTCTGGGCCCACAATGCACACTTCCAATTGCGGTAAACTGTGCTTGAGGGTCAGAAGTTCCCTAAACAAGTTAGATGGGCGGCTACCAGGAGAACGGGAAGGGTTCAAACATGATGTCGAAAGGATTCCATGCCCCCTGCTGGGGGGGGGGGGTAGGCGTAGATGGGAACAATGGCCGAGCTAGACCCATCCATGACATTAGCTTAGGCACGGCTTACTATCAGCCAATTGCAAAGGATCGGTCCCAGCCTCAACAAACCAATCCGGTCCTGTATTTCAAAAGTAGCAACAAAAAAGTATTCATCAGTGTGGCTGGGTGGTGAGCATCTCCACTGCCCTGCAGGCGCTTCAGGGGTGGTGTCGATGGCGGATCCAGTATCAGCCGCCTGGATGGAAGCACTTGGAACTGCGTCCATCGAGCTCTTTCCAGCCCAGATGAAGGCAAATTTCAGACTCTAGAAGCTGTGGTAGTGTAACCCGCATGGGCACGGCTGGGTATTGCGCATTCGGCGATGTAAATTGGACAGGGATCTTTAGCGATGCAAGAGTATATTCGAGAGAGCTGGGCCTGGGGAGACTCCGGCACTCATGAATCGGGATCAAGCGGCCTGGTCGTGCCAAGTAAAGTAGACAATATTGATGGCGCAAAAAAGTCTGGCTTTGACGTGTTCTGCCTAATTCAATGTAAGCTGAGTACCATTAAGACTGAGGTA